TTTTACAATCTTAAACACCTCAATCAGATCCCTCCTAACTATTCATTTTTCAAGAAAAGACAATTTGAGAAATTTCAGCCTCTCGTTATAGGAAAACCTTTCCATCCCAGGCATCATTCTAATGACCCTTCTCTGAATCCTTTCCAATAATTCAATGTCTTTCCTAAGGTAAGGAGTCCAAGACTGAACACAATATTCCAAATGTGGCCTAACCAGTGACCTATACAATAAAAGTATAACCTCTTTAGGCTTGTATTCAATATTTCTGTAGTTACAACGTAAAATCGTATTTGCCCTACCACTACCAACAGCACACTGCTTGAATGGCTTTAGCAAATGTTCGACTATTATACCTAAATCCCTTTCCATCATAACACTGTTAAGGTTATTCCGATCCAAATTTTACTTATAATTCCAATTATAATAACCCACATGCATTATCTTGCATTTATTATTATTAAAACCCATCTGCCATTTATTTTCCCAATTCATTAAATGATCTATATCCTTTTGTAAATCAGCAGCATCCTCTTCACAGCTAGCAACACCCAAGACCTTAATATCATCTGCAAATTTAAGTAATTTATTGACTATTCCTTCATTTATGTCATTGATGTAAATAAAAAAGAGTAAAGGTCCTAAGACTGAGCCCTGAGGTACCCCACTTGTGACATTGATGCAGTTTGACTGAACTCCATTTGTAACAACCCTCTGCTTTCTTCCATCCATCCACTCTTCTATTCATTTTTCTAACTTATCTCTAACACCTATAGAGATAATTTTCTTTCCAAGCCTTTTATGTGGCACCTTGTCAGATGCTTTCTGAAATTCCAGATACACCAAATCTACACCCTTACCCTCATCTACATAAACAGTAACCTTTTCAAAGAATGTCAAAAGATTCGTAAGGCAAGGTTTTTCCCTTAATGAAACCATGTTGACTATCCAATAAAATTCTAAACTTTGTTAAATGACTTTGCAAAGCATCTTTTAACACAACTGATATAAGACTAATGGGTCTATAATTATTGGGAAAATTTTTATCTCCTCTCTTGAAAAGAGGAGTTACATTAGCTTACTTCCAAACCTCTGGTACCTGGCCACTGTTCAAGGACTGACAAAAAATAGTAGTAAATGGCTCACATATCCAATCTTTAACCTCCTTGGGAAAATATTAACCGGCCCAAGAGCCTTATCGTTTTTTAAACTTACCAATTTTTCCTTAACCAGCTCAGAATTAATGCAGTCATCTTGTTTGATTTCATTTCCATTTATCGACTGTTCAAGATGTGAAATACTGCTTAGATCTTCATAGACTTAAAATAAGACCCAAAACCCAAGCAATTTCGAATAAATGACTATTCATCTTCAGGAGAATAAAGGGGACCAAGATGGCACCAAACTATGCCAATGGTTTCAGGGGAGACTTAGAGATGAGATTGTTGGAAAGTTATAAAGAGAAACCAAACATTTGGAAATGTTACATAGATGACATTTTTTTTCATTTGGGTAGGAGACGAAGACTCCTTCCTATCTTTCTATAGACATGCAAACTCTTTCCACACTTCTATTAAATTTACTCTAGATTACTCCACTACTCAAATAAGTTTTTTAGGTGTAAACCTGACATTAAAAGATGGTTTTCTACACACTGATTTGTACCATAAACTAACTGATAGACTACAGTACTTACATTTTCAAAACTGTCACCCTCCACACACCAAATGAAATATTACATTCAGTCAAGCACTTAGATTAAAGAAAATCCGCTCTGGCAGTAAGAACTATGACCATCACATTGATTCTTTGACCGAAAGAGGGTATAAACAACACACTGTGATTCAACAAGTTGACAAAGCTAACAATATTCCACGTGTATCTGCACCTAAAACAAATTCCTCTTGTGTTCCACTAGTTATCACATATCACTCAAAATTAAAAAACCTACCCCGTATACTGAAAAAGCACTTTTACCTCCTTCAACTTAATGATAGACTAAAAACTATTTTTATGGAAGTTTCTGTTGCTTCTTTTAGGAAAAATAAGACTTTGAAATCGCAGTTGGTGCATGCCAAAGTTAACTTTAATGCGACACCTGGTGGAAGTTATCCCTGCAATGGCAAACGTTGTAAAACCTGAAAGTTCATGCAGCAGACTAACAATTTCTCTGATAAAAACAACCAAAGACATTCCAAAATCAATAAAACCATAACCTGAACTACAAAAAATTCTATTTACTTAATCCAGTGCTGAAAGTACAACTTCCAGTATGTAGGTCAAACTAAAACAACTATATGGGAGCAGTTTAATAACCACAAATCTTCAATCGAAATGAACAAGGAACTTCCAGTTGCAGAGCATTTCAACATGCCTGACCACTCTCTTGATGACATGATACTGACAGGAATAGAGACAAATTTTACATCAAACAGAAACAGGGAAATTAAAGAAGCTTACTGGATAGCACTGTTAAATACTGTAACACTGAATGGCATCAATCTCGATCCTGGGATTGTTGACCTTTGAGCAACTCTAAAAAAATTCCGAATAACTTGTAAATATGTTTGTAAAGTTTTATTATTA